ACCCAGGCATGTGCCCTGACTGGGAATCGAATCAGCAGCCCTTTGGTTTGCAGGCCAGTGCCTTTGGTTCACAGTCCACTGAGCCACACCAGCCAGGGCAATGTGTCTTGCCCCCAAATTCATATGTTGAATTCTTATCCCCCCAAAGATATTAAGAGGTGGGGTTTTGGGGAAGTAATTTGGTCTTAATGGATTAATGCCCTTATAAAGAGGCTCCAGAGATGCCTCACCCTTTCTTCATGTGAGGGCATAGCAGGAAGGCACTGGCTATGAACCAGGAAGTAAGCCGCCACCAGAACTCAACCATACTGGCACCTTGATCTTGGACTTCCAGCCTCCAGAACTGAGAAATCAATTTCTGTTCTTTATAAGCCACCCAGTCTGTGATATTTTGTTATATCAGTACAGATGGACTAAGTTATAGATTATAGGGTTTTTATTCTTTAGTTTGTTAATATGCTGAATTACACCGATAAAATTTCAAATGTTTAAACAAAGCCTGCATTCTCATGATAGACTACTTAGTCATGATATGTTATTATTTTTGTATCTTGTAGAACTCAGTTTGCTAAAATTTTGTTTAGAATGTTTGCATGTATGTTCACAAAGCACATTGGTCTATAGTTTTCTTTTCATATAAAGTCTCTGTATGGATTTGAATGAGTTGGAAGTAGTCTTTCCTCCTCATTTTCTGGAAGAGTTTGTATAGCATTGGCATTATTTCTTCCTTAGACAATTGGTAGAATTTGAGTTTCCTGTTTGTATATTTGTTCATGTGTGAGGGCAGGTTACAGAGGATGCCATGCTGGGTGCCTAAAACCCAGAGACCCAGAGGGCAGAGTACAGGGTGACCATGGCAGAGGGAAAGCAAGAGGGAATATCCTGTGGAGGAGAAAACCACAGAAAGGGAACCTACATTTGGCATATACACTCTTCCCACATCTGTTGACCCCTGGGGCTATACATGCCCTCCAAGAAAAGAGCTGAGCAGAGATTTCAGTTGGTGCCCAATACAAGGGAGATCGAGTTTGGAGTCTGAGTTTGTCTAAGTTAACTGATTGCTAATTAGGAACACATATAATTAATAAATGTGTATGCACCCAATAATATAATTCCAAACCATATGAAATATAATTTGAAATATATATTTTCCCTTTATTCACAATAGTAGTGGGAAATTTTAACACCCTTGCCTCAGAAATTGATACAATTAGACAAGAAATCAGTAAATATATAGAAGATCTGTATGACATTATCGACAACCTTTATTTCACTGACATTTACAGAATATTCTACCCAGCAACTGCAGATGAAAGATTCTTTACCAGGGCATTCACCTGGATAGATCAAATGCTCGGCCATAAAACAAGTCTCAACACATTTAGAAAAAACGAAAGTTTACATAATAAGTTATCTGAGTCCATAGTGGAGTTCCATTACAAATTAATAAAAGTAATAGGCCCCCAAATATCTGGAAATTCTGCATCACACTTCTAAGAAAGCCCATGGTTAAAGAAGAAAACACAAAGGAACTTAGAAAATATTTTAAGTGGAATGATAATAAAAATGAAACAGAATTAGTGGGAGGCAGACAAAGAAGTTATCAGAGAAAGATTTATTGCTTTAAATCATATTAGAAAAGAAGAAAGGCATAAAATCAATGCCCTAATGTTCCATCTAAAGAAGCTAGAAAAAGAAAAGCAAAGTAAATCCTAAACAGGTAGAAAGAAATAACAGAGATAACAGCAGAACTAAATGAAATAGAAAACAAACTATGGAGAAAATCAGGAAAGTTATAGATTTTTAGATGAGCAATGAAATTAATAAATCCTAGCAAGATTAATCAAAAAGAGAAAGTACATTAATCATCAATATCAAAGATAAAAGAAGGACATCACTATAGATCATGCAGGTATTAAAAGGATAATCAGGAACTATTCTAGGCATCCTTATGTCAATAATTTTGATAAATTAGATAAAATTCGTGAATTCTTTGGTAACAACTTACCAAAACTAAAAACAGGTTAAATATAAAATATAGGGTTGGCCAAAAAGTCTGCATGGTTTCTTCCATAAAGTAAAAGACACATTTTTCATTTTCACCAATAACTATTGATTTGGATATTTTGAGTATGTTGGCTATCTCCCATGTGGTATAACATTGATTGTTCTCAATTAATGTCTCAATTTGATCGCTATCAACTTCGACTGGTCTACTGGAGCATAGAGCATCATCAGTGAGATATCTCCAGCATGAAAGTTCGTGAACCACTTCTGACACATTTGATCTGTCACAGCATTTTCTCCATACACTGCACAAATCTTTTTTTGTTTCAGTTTTGTTTTTACCTTTCTTGAAAGTGTAAAGCATAATATATCAAAAATGTTGCATATCTTCTTCCATCTTCAATATTAAAATGACTACACAAAAATTCACCAATTTTGAAAGTTTTTTAAAATGCACGCTGATATGACAGCTGTCAATACAATCTAACAAAATTATTTCGAATGAAGTTAAAGACAGCTAAGTGCTACTAGAGCCATCTTACGGAATAAAGCAAATGAACTTTTTTGCCAACCCAATAGGAATAGCCCTATTTAATTTAATTTAATTAATTTACTATAGAAAACTTTGCTAAAAACAAAATAAACAAACACAACAATAGAACATCCCAGGCCCCAGAGGATTTCATGGGTGAATTCTAGCAAATGTTTAAGGAATGAAAATCACCACTCTTCCACACTTTCGGGAAATAGAGGAGCAGGGAACAATTCCCAATTCATTTTGCAAAGCTAAGATAAACCTGGTACTAAATCTTGATTAAAAAGTTATGGGAAAAAAAAGAGAAAAATTATAGGAAAATATCCCTCATGAACAGTGTAGCAAAAATCCGTACCTATCAGCCAATCAAATTCAGCAACATAGAGTAAGGAAAGTTTTTCTATTGCTTATTTACAGATGCAGGGCACAGATGTTCAGTGACTTGTATAGGGTCTGTTCACCTGACACAAAACCCACACATCTTCCAATGCAATGACTGCCTGTGCAGTTAAGACCTGGCTTTACAGTGTAAAGAGGTGTGATGAAGCTCCTGGCATGGGAACAGATAACCTGTGTCTGTTGCGGAGGTTCCAGGCTTAATGAGGGCAGGCTGTGAATGCAGAGGGGCGCTGGTGACCTGTTCTTAGATTCCTCTGACAGTTGCCTCCTTGTTTCCTGGCCCTCCCGCCGCCCCCCCCCCCCATATTTGCTACAATTATTGATGGAAGCCATTTTGTGGCTAGAAAGCCAATGGGTGTGCGTGTTGCTCCCTGAGACTGCAGGCTTTGCCACATGAAGCCCTTTACCAAGCAGATTCCATTGCCAGGGCAACATTGATGCCTCCTCATGTGCTCTCCTAATCCAGTCCTTTGCCCTGAACCCAGACACAGAGGTCGCTCCTCTACCTAGGGCTTCTTGGAGCCCTGGGATGCCCACCTGGCCTTTATACTGAGGGAGCTACCTGGGAAACCCCTGGCTGCACAGCCCTAGGCCTCATTTTTCTGACTCTGGCTTCAGTGGCCTCCAGAATGGGCTCCGAAGCTCTCAGGCAGCATTTCCCTGGTACAGCAGCACTTGCAGAGGTGGAGAGAGTGAGCAGGCTACTAGGGACTTCGCCAGGGCCAGTTCCCAGAATTACGGCGGCAGGCTAGCTCTCTGGGTAGGAGCGGTTTGCTGACCGGGCAGGAAGGCAGTGGTGGCATAGGGGAGTCTCGGTCAGGCGCTGGTGAGAAGGGGATGTGGGGTTCTCTTGCAGGAGGTTGGGAAGGAGAGGGCTCCTGGCTGTGGAGGGGCAGGTTCTGGTGCGAAGGGCTCTGGATTTGGGTGTGGGGGCTGCAGTAGGGGGTCTACAGGTTGCCTGGGGTCAGAGTAGGAGGCTGGGCCACTCTGGAATAGGGGATGAGAGCACTCCTGGCTTTGGGGATCTGGGGGTGGCAGGGCTCCTGGCTGCGGGTTTTGCAGATGGTGAAGGGAAGAGCTTTGGCTGCAAGGGCCAAATCAGGGGTGTTGGCCAAGGCCAAAGGGGGTCTCCTTGCTATGGAGGTGAGGGGTGCAGTGGGGAATTCCACAGCAGGGGGGGATGAGTCGTGAAGTGGCCAGGGAGGAGCTCCAGGCCTCCACTGTGTGGGGCGGTGGGGTGGGCTGTGTGTCACCAACGTCCCTCTCGCCTCTTTGCACTCCCATGCCACCCCAGCAGAGACTGCAACAGTCTTTGCACCCCTTTCTGATCTTGCCCGCTGCCCCCAAGGCCTGGGTGATGGGATGGCACTGGAGATGCTGTAGGACTGGTGTAGCCTGATGAGGGTGAACACACAGTGCTCCCTGCTCATTCTGGGCATCCCGGGCAATTGCGAGGATCAGGAGTTCCAGGAGGCCGTGCAGGCTGCCCTGTGGCGCCTGGGTAGGTACTGAGTGCTGGGCAAGATCTTCAGAAGGGAGCTCAGGACCAGGGTTGCATTGGTCAAGTTTGATGACAATTTAAACCGGAATGTGACACCCTGACAAATATCAAGCAAGCAAGGCATCTGGACTGTGGTCTTCCTGCCCCAGGCCCCTGATTCTGAGTTATGGGATAGACCCAATTTTCCTGCACAGACCCAGAGTCAAGCAAGGGCTGGCAGGGCAGGTGAGGCAGGACCTGCAGGTCAGGAAGGAGCTGAAGATACGGTAGGGGTTCCAGGTAAGGTAGGAGTTATGACAAGTTCTCCAGATGTGACAGGATCTACAGATGTGAGGCAGGGGCCCCAGGTGAGAAGGGAGTTGTAGATGAGACAGGAGCTGCAGGTGAGGAGTGAGGAGGGATGTGTCAGGAACTGCAGGTGAGGCCGGGGCTGAAAAACGTGGCAGAAGCTCCAGGTGAGAATGAAATGCAGGTGTGTCTGGAGATAAATGTGAGGCAGGCCCTCAGGATGTGGTAGGGATTGCAGGTGAGGAGGCAATTGCAGATGTGACAAGAACCATGGATGTTGTAGGATCTGCAGGTGAGCCGGGAGCCCCAGGTGAGGAAGGAGATGCAGGTGAGGAAGAAGCTGTAGGTGTGGTAGGAGCTGCAAGTGAGGCAAGGCTTGCAGATGTGGCAGGAGGTGTAGCTGCGGAAGAAGCCTGGATCCAGCAATGGAGTCAGGCCCTGCAGCCTGTGCTGGAAAATATGGCCTACCAGCAACTGAGAACCTTTTCTGGGATGGAAGAGCCAGGCCACGGGGATGAGTCCTTTGAGAGCTGGCTGGACCATGCCCATGACATGCTATACCTATGGCGACACGTATCAGAAAGGGAGAGGAGGAGAAGGCTGGTGGAGAGCCTGGGTGGCCCTGCACTGGATCTTTTGTGTGGCTTCCTGAGAGAAAACCCCAAGGTCACTGTGCAGGACTGCCTGGCCCCACTGGTTCACGTTTTTGGGAACAAGGACACTGAGATGACTGTGAGGCTAAAGTTCATGACTTGTGCTCAGCAGCCCCAGGAGACTCGCTTTGCCTACGTGATGCGCCTGGAAGTCCTGCTGCAGGCGGCCATGGAGAAGGGGGCCATCCCACCCTCCGTGGCAGACCAGGTGCGTGCCCGGCAGGTGCGGATGTGGGCCTGTCCCAAGGACACGCTCTGGAACATGCTGAGGACGGGGCCAGAGAGGAGAACGCCTGACTTCCTGGGGATGCTTTGGCTCATTCAGGAGGTGAAGGCATGGGAGGCCGCCCCGGCTATAAACCAGCAGTTCCAAGGGGAAGAAGGGGGCTGTGTGCACACCGGAGACCTGGATGCTGCCCAGCTCACCCCAGCCCGTGAAGGGGCTGCCCACGCTGCCCCAGCCCGTGAATGGGGATGAAGGTGGGGGGGCAGGTGGGCGGGGGGCTGCGCGCGCCCGTGAAGGTGATGGCGAGGCGCGAGCCGTGAAGGGGCTGCCCACGCTGCCCCAGCCCGTGAAGGTGATGGCGAGGCCGCTACAGCCCCTGAAGATACTTCCCAGGGTGTCCTTTCCAAGGAAGATAGTGCCGAGGCCACTCCGGCCAATGCAGTGGCCAGTGAGGCAGGTCCTGGCACTGCCGATCCTGATGGGGCTGCTTCTGAAACCGGTGGTGCCACCACGGCGGTCCCTGCCCTTGAGGAGACCTCCTCTGCCACTCAGCGAGGTGAAAATGCTCTGGCTCCTGCAGGCCTAGGTCAGGCAGGACCCTCCCCTGCCCGTATGGGCAGCGCTTCTGGGGTGGGCTCAAGAGGTCTTGGCGGTGAGCCAGAGGGCCAGGCCCAGGCAGGAGACCAGGAGGCCCAGGAGCCCCGCGAGGAGGGGCTCAAGCCCATCCCGGAGGAGTTGGGAAGTGAGGACAGGGCTGGGGAGATGAGTTCCCCTGAGCCCTCCTCCAGCAAATAGGCTTGGAAGGCCCAGTGGCCTCCCGTCTTCTCAGGCAACGCAGGCCTGGAGGCAGGGGGAGGCCAGGCCAGGGCAGCCTCCTCGCCCCACACGGGGAGCAGGGCCCACCCAGCCCAAACCAAGCCTCCGGGCTTGTTCTTACGGACATGTTTTGTGTTCTCTGAGCTGTTCTCTCTCCATGCCACCCCACCCCTCACCCCTCACCCCGGAGACCCTGTGCCCGATCCCAGGAGATGGCGGGAAGGACCAACGAAGGTGAGGCCAGCACTCACCCAGCGACCCTGGGAAGGAAGAACTGGACCAGGGACAGAAAGCGGCTGCCGGGGGCCCCACAGGGACTGCGTCTTGATGTGCCACCCTGTTGTTCCTTGTGACTGCGTTTTCCTCGGCTTGGTGCAGTGTCCCCTGCTGTGTTTCCCAGCATCCTGCGACTGTCCTGCGCAGGCCGTAGGGCAGGGCCAGGACCCAGCACGTCAGCCAGAGGGAGGGGGCCCCTGCAGCGAGCGGACATCGCCAGCGTCCGTAGCCCTGCAACGGCCGAGCAGGGCCCTCAGGAAGGGGGACTGGGGCGGAGGGCCGTGGCGTGGGGGGACAGCTGAGGCACCTTGTCCGAGACTTCTAGGAGGAATGGCTGTTCCAGACCTATGGGCTCTAGTGACCATTGGAAATTCTCTGTGTTGCCATTTTCTTTCTTCAATGGATTCAGTAAATGTTTCTCTGCAATAAATTTCATTGAATGTTTCAGTTGAGTTTAGCCTTTGCTATGGGAAGGTCTGCTGGAGGCAGGGATAGGGGCAACAATGGCCTGGGACTCTAAGTCAGCACTGGGGTATGGTGGGGACAGGGCTCATGATGGCTGTGAAGTCCTCTGGGCTGGATGGCATAGGTAGCAGGAAGTCCTGGCAAGGACCGTGGCTGGATGGGTCCTCAGGAAAACTCTGGGATCCACCAGCAATAATTGGGTTAAATGCTGAAGTTATGGGGAGGGACAGCAAGCCATATTGGAGGCTCTGGGTTCCCTGGCAGCACTGTGGGGGCACAGGGTCCCCTAATTGTCAGGGAAATGCCATGTGCAGTCCCAGAGGCCAATTGGCCACAGAAAAGCCTGGGTATGAAGTCAGACACCTCTGCCAGGAGCTTGCTGCAGAACTCCAGGGTGAGGTGGGGTGCCTCCCCACCTCTGTATGATCAGCCTATCCCTGCCAGCTGACAATTGGTAAGCCTCTACATAGCCACTGAGAGACATTGTAGGCTTAGGTGTGTGTGATGCCTGAGGGATGGAGAGTGGGCCAGGTGGGGTTTCACAGGGTTTATACCTTGTCAGAGCAGAAGAAAGGCTGGGGTGGTTTTATTACTCCTGGGCCCTGCCCTCTCACCCCAGGGGACCGTGAGCCCACCACAAATTGAGGATAGCCCTCCATTGGCCATTGAACTAATTTCAAGTCTTTGGGAGAGAGACAGAAAGAGGGACTGGGCCTTTCCCTGCATGTATTTGAGGAGGGGACAGTATTATTAACCCGGAAAAGATGAAGGACTGTCTGGGGCTCCCTTAGTCTGTGCCTAGAGGTGTCCTCCAACTATTGTGAAGGGACAAGATTCTCTGAGTACACCACAGTGCAGATGAAGGACACAGTCCCCAAAGCAGCTGAGGAGCCAGGGCTCTGAGGCCTGGGCCCATGGCTGCTTGACAGTTCTGCAGGAACTGTTCATTTGGGGAGTCTTCAGCCCTGTGGTAAGAGCTGAGGACAGTGGAGCTGCAGGGACGGAGGGAGCCCTGGAAGTGCTGGGCGCACACAGGCAGTCTAGGGGGAGTTGCACTGGAGGTGTTGGGAAGGAGGTCATGAGAGCCATATCTGCTCTGCCCTCTGAGGTTTCCCCCGTCCAAAGCCCCCCATCATTTGGGGGCCCCCTCATAAGACCACCATTCTTCTCTAGACCCTACCTCCTCTTTGAGCCTGCAGCAGGTCCTGCCTCCTGAGCTGCTGTTCTTGCACATGGGAGTCCTTCCCTTGAGTGCTTTAGCCACCTGCACCTCTGGCTGCCTTGCTCCTTCCCCAGCTGCCCGTCTGGGCTCAAACTAATGGCTCGTATTCTCACATTAGGAAGCCATAGGTCCTTATTTCCTTAGCACCTCTTGGAAGCCATGGTCTCCATCATAAAGAACGAAGATCAGCCCCCTAAGCAGATTGCTTTCTTATTCCAGGATATGGCTAGCCAGATTTCTCTCCAGCAGGTCTGGCAGCCAGCCCAGAGTTCCCCTGGGGCCTGTGGCCCCATTCTAGCGCACATTGTGCTGTTTAAGACTGGGGCCTAACTTCCCTGAGCCCAGGCCCAGGTGTCCTAGTACATGGCCACCTGGGCTCAGCAAAGACTCAGTCTTCTGCTGCATGCCCTCCATGCTGGGCTTTCTGCAGCACTACTTGTGGCAATGTCTCCCATAATGCCCTACAACTTGCTTCCAGTTTTGCATGGCAGTCCAAGAGCCGTGATCCCACCTGGCCAAACAAGGGACAGCAGACTGGCCATTAATGGCTCTGCAACCAAAAGCCATAAACCCAAAAGATGCTGAAGATTTTGGTCCTGGGAGAAGAGTGAGCCCCTCCCTAAGAACTTCCATCTGTGAATGTTGACTATCCGCCAAGCAGTGGGCTGAGCCACTGGGCCTGCACTCTCTCTGTGTCCTCAGAGGAGCCCTTGGGGGAAGCGGACACTGTTATGAGCCCTCTGCTCCAGATGAGGACACTGGACACAGGAAGGTTCAGGGACTTGCCCAAAGCTCCACAGCTCCTCAGTGGAGGTGCTGGGATTCCAGGACAGGCCAGCAGACCATACAGCCCATGCTCCGGAAACAAGACTGAAGGGCATTTTAGTTGAGCAATTGCCACACTCCGGAAACACAGAGAGGAGAGTGCATGGGGGCTTGTGAAGCTTACAAGGCCAGAAGTACCTGAAGGGAGAGCAGGAGGGAGGGAGGGAGGGACTGAGATCAAGCATCATCCCGCCCTCCCTGCAGATGTCTCAGGGCCCCAGCAGACCTAGTGATGAAACCGCCTTCCACGTCTGCAGGACACACCTGCTCTGAGGAGGAGCCAGGGGCACACCTGGCGGTCTATTTCTTTCATAGTTTACCAAGAAGGGCCTCAGGACCAGTGCTTTCCCCTCCAGGAAATGGGTGCTGGGGGTGGGAGTGGGCATTTTGTGGGGTTTGTTTTCAGCCTGTTCACTCACATCTTGGGGTGGCTGCTTGGCACGATCAGTTCATGTGTCACACGGCTGGACACAGAGAGAGAGAGGGGTCAATGTGGGAGGCACCCTGATATAGGTGGTGGTGGCAGGGATGAAAACAGCCATTGTTGAGTCTCCACTAAGCGCTGGACACCACCTCAGGACTTTGTTGCACGGGCACTGCTTGACCTGTGAGTACTTTGTACTGTGTTGGAGTGACACAAACTGAGTACTTGGGTGTGTGTGAAGGCTAGAGGGAAATGAACTTTGATTGCATGGAACTCGCTCTGAGGGATTCACAGGGGCTCCCTGGAGGAAATGTGTTCTAAGCGCTGTCTTAAAGGCCCAGCCAGTTCTAAAGGTGGAGGGAAGACTAGGGAGAAAGTGTCACTTGTTCCATCAGAGAGGTACCATGATGTGCACATACCTGCAGTGCTAAGAATGCCGAGAGAGGGCGATATTGAGGCATGAGGCAAACAGGGACCCATAGTGAGGTTTCTCATAACAGTTAGAGAGCTCCCTTGAAATCTGCTATGAACAACATTCTGAGAAAAATACGTAAGGGTGGTCTTCGCCAGGAAAGAGATGGCCAGCTCAAGTTGTTGCTAAGGGAACTGCTGCAATTCCAAGTCAAGAGTGGCTAGAAAGCAATTTGGAAGGATGGAGAGATTTTGATGGGACAGAAATAACCCTTTGGCGAGTGAAAAATACAGTCATCAAGACAGCTTGCCAGGGATATGGGCTGACTCTCCTGTGCTAGGCAGGCTTTTGGTCCTATGGCCTTTGCCTCCTGGTGTCATGTCCATGTACATGGAAAGTTATGTGGCAGATGTAATTAAGGATACTAATAAGTTGCCCTTACAATAGAGATTATCTTGGATTCTCTGGTGGGTTCTTTACAAGCAGAGCTTTCTCCCCACTGAAGGTACAAGGGGAAGTCAGAGAGATTTGAAGCTTATTTGAAGAGGGAGGGGGAATAAATATTAGAAGAAATGTGGGTGGCAATAGCCCCTAGGAGCAGAGAATGACCCGCTGATGACAGCCAACAAGGGAATGGGGACTCCAGACTGATAAGTACCTGGAACTGAATTCTGCCAACAACCTTGGTGAGTCTGAAAGGATTCTGCTCCAAACCTCCAGAAAACCCCCTGGCAAGCCAACACTCTGATTATATCCTTGGAAGCTCAGCTGTGCCTGGACTCGTGACCCAGGGCAACGGTGTGTACTAGCTGAGCATTATTATAAGCTGCTAAATTGATAGCCAGAGTAACACTCTCCCTGTAAATGCAGCTTCTTCCCATGGGTGTGGCTGGTGGGTGTGGCTTTCTTCTCACTGCCCAGGCCTCAGCGTCCTTTATTCTCCTGGCTCCCTTTGGTCAAATACCAATTGTTTCCCTGGCTCAACTGACTACCGTGGTTGCAGCAATGCAATGTTTTCTTCCTTGCTTGTCTTTCTTTACAAGGTATCTCTTTCTAAATTCACTAACCAAATTCATTTCATTCCTACCAACATTTCTCATCATCACAAGCTGTGTCTTTAAATGTCTGTGAGGTCCCAAGTTTTAGAAGATTTTAGAGTTCTGGAAGACTCTACTTTTCTTCTTCTTTCTTCTCCTCCATACCCCCTCCTCTCCTGGACTTTTGGTGCAAATGTATTGGAATTGGTTATAAAACTTGCAGGTCCAGACAATTATCCCCACCTGCATCATCTGAACAGGTGAACTCTCTCACCTCTGGCCCAGCAAGAAACTTAACAGAAGACCCAGTTCTCCAAG